AAGTTGACGGTTGGTGTCTCCCTGGCCTGCTTCCTATCTTATTTTTACATTTGTGTGCACGTGTGCATGTATGTGTGCCACGGTGCCCAAGTAGAGGTTAGAGGACAGTTTGTGGGAGTTTGTTCTCTGCTACCATATGGTTCTGGAGCTAGGTCATCAGCCTTGGTGGCAAGCTCCCTTATCCACCAAGTCACTATCTTGCTGGGCCTCCATCTTATTTGTTGAGCTGGGTCTCTCACTGAACCTGAAGCTCTTCAATTTGTTTCGACTGGCTAGCCAATGAATTTCAGAGATGTGCCCATCTCTAGGGCTAGGGTGATAAGCATCACACCCAGATTTCACATGGGTACTGAGCTTCCTGAGCCAGGGCCTCATGCTTGAGCAGCAAGTGTGTCACCCAGTAAGTCATCTTGTTGGCCCCTCAATGACTTCCTGATAAGAACTGACACATATAATTTATGATTAATCTCATTTATTTAAGCGTCTCCCCACTGCAAGGATTTGATGAGAGAATACAGTGATGGGTATAAGTCTATTAACAAATTTTACAAAATATGTCAATGTCAGTCTCTTTCTGGTGTATCATGAGCAGTAGGGAAAGACAGAAGCAGGGGCTCAGAATCAGAAATTTAGCTGGGTGATATGGCACACTCTTTTAATCCCAGCACTCAGGAGGCAGAGGCAGATGGATCAACGATGAGTTTGAGGCCAGCCTGGTCTACAGACTGAGTTCCAGGACAATCAGGATTAAAGATAAGAATGCATCCAAGCACCTTCTTCCTGTTGTTCTATCTCCTAGATCTCTGAGAAGGATGTTGGTTTCTGATTGGGGAGGTAGCTCAGTGGTACAGCACTTGACTAGCATGTGAAAGGCCCCGAGTTTGATCCTAGCGCTGCTTCCCCTGGGTCACAACAGTCTCTTCATGGTGCTCTCGATGTATGACTCCAGCAAGAAGATGGTTTCATCTACCTGGATCTCACTGGCATCCAACCTGCGTGAAAGAGTGAAACAGTTGCCAGGGGTTAATGCTCATTAGTATAGTCACGATTGGAGGCTGGGCTGGGTGCGGAAAGAAGAGAGAACCGGGAGAGCCTTCTTCGTCTATATCTCTCCCATATCAGACACTGTGGAGCCGCTGAAGCCCCACAGGCAGCGTCTTACTTTTACTTACAACCATGAGAAAGAACAGCACTTTTAAGAGTTGTGTGCTTTAAAACCATGAGAAAGTGAAGAGTTAGTGTTAATCAAGAAGAGCGAGGGACTTCCCCAATCTGACAAAACCACAGCTAACATCACACTTAATCGTAAGAACTCAAGTTTCCTTCCTTAGATCAGGAACAACGCCAAGATGTCCTTTCCAGTCTTCTGCTGGAGGTGATAGTCAAGACAATTAGGCAAGTTAAAGAAAAAATAAAAAATTACTAGAACTAATAAATTTACACAACCCCTCTTAATGAATAAAAGGAAATGAAGATGGAGGCACATTGCTATGAAACTATGAAAGGTCTCATGGCCCAGCAATGAATTTGGATTTTATACTGTAAAAAAAAAATCAATAAATCATTTTAGCCAGGTGTTGTGACATACACTTGTAATCCCAGCACTCTGGAGGTGGAGGTGGTAGAAGCAGTAGAATCAGTCCAAGGCTAGTATGAGTACACGAGACCTTTAGTCAAGAAACATAACCCCTTCCAAATCAAAGGATGAGCAAACATATGCACAAGCAAGGAAGCCAATAAATCATTTCAACTAGAAGAGGGATGTTATCAACCACTTTAAAGACAATATTATTACCTGAGGGTTGGGGAGATGGACCAGAGGGTAAATTGTCTGCCATCCAAGTGTGAGGGAGGACCTGAGGTTGGAGTCCCAGAATACACATAAAGCCCCCCCTCCCCCCCGTAAGAGCATTGTGACACACCGTTTGTAAGATAAAGTTATTGCAATGCTCTAGGTAAGAGGTAACGAAGAATCAAGATGAAATGCCAGACTTGAGGCTGAAGTAAAATTCTCAGTACTTGGTGAATGACAGAGGACAGCCCTGGCTGTCCTGGATCAGGCTGGCCTTGAACTCTTAAGAGTTCTACGCCTCTGGAGTGCTGGGATTAAAGGTGTGTACCACCACACCTGGTAGGTTCAATTCTTTTAATTAGGCTAGGAAAGATGACGCTGCACTTAGGTTTGCTCACTAAATTGGAGGCGATTAGGCAGTGAATCATATTTGCTTGAAAGGCGTCGCCAAGCAGAGTCTGGACCCACCACTTACTTGTTAACGTTGCGTTTCAGCGTCTCCAGCTGCTGCCGCTCAGGGGCTGTGATCATCTCCTCTATCTCCTGCAGCTGCACCTCCTCTGCACCCGTGGCCTGCATTGATGCAATGATGGCTTCTATCCTCTGAGACTTTTCTAGTAGCCGCCTATCAGACAGACAGAGCTTTGACGTATTTCCTTATCTCTGAGATTCTCCTGCCCTCTAACTCAGAGGCCAGTTCCTTCCTTCTATATTTCAGCTACAGACTCTGCCCATATAACTTAATCACAAATGTAACTTTGTTCCTAAAACATTTATTGCCTCTTAGTTGCTCTTAAACTCTGGGGTCAAGCACATGCTTCATAATTTGCAAACTTATTTAATTGGGGGTACAGTCAACAAGTGTAAACTAAGGCATGGCTATGCCAACCCAAACCTATGACTCAATGCCATATACTGTGCATTGGGCTACTGTTGCCATTTCTAGAGCAAGTTTTCCCTCAGGCTTGGACCGTGAATAATGTAACTGAAAAAGTGTTGGGGCCCAGAGGTGCCGGGTAAAGGAGAACTGTCACCATGTGTAAGTGTTTTAGTTATTGGTTCAGTGGAAAATAACATAAAACAAGCTATGTCTGCAAGAGAGAGAGGAAAAGAGAAATGCAAAGGTTCAATGGAGAGCACACTCACCTGTTCTCCTTTGTTTCAAACTGCCGCCTTTCTATCAGGTTGGCTATGCTCTGAGGAAAGAGAAGACAGACAAGAAATGCCAATGGCTCTGTTTCATTGGTGTGGAGTGGACGAGGGAGGGGAGAAAACTGCACGGTTACCTTATAGCACCTGTGCAACAGCATCCTGGCGGCCGACAGCACATTCACGGTGTACAGATAGAAGGTCCTGGATGGCGCGTGGTCTGGGGTTTTAGGAATTTCCTGTTTGTCCGCAGAAATAAAGAGACTGTTCTTTGGAACTGGTAAAGTAAACACCCATCCACCTGGCACTCTCAGTCCTCATTTCCAAGACTTTTCTTTCCTGGCCAATCAGTAGTGATTCTGTTTATGACATAATCAGCCACAGGAAGCAGGGCGCCTGGCTTTCCATTTTTCTATCAGCATCCCGAATAAAAGGGAAAGCAATTAATATTTACTGAGGGATCTCTACACAGGCCAGGTGGATTGTATTTGATTTTCATAATAGACCTTATTTATTAATAATTGAGACAGTGTGATACTGTTAAGTGTATGCTGGCCTCAAATTTTCAACCCTTCAGCCTCAGCCTCCTCTGTACTGGGGATTATAGGTACACACTACCACAGCTGGTCCAAACCACGGTTCTTTTTTTTTTTTTTTTTAAAGATTTTTTTTTTATTTATTACATATACAATACAGTGTTCTGCCGCCATGTATGCCTGCATGCCAGAAGAGGGCACCAGATCTCATTTTTTAGATGGTTGTGAGCCACCATGTGGTTGCTGGGAATTGAACTCAGGACCCCTGGAAGAACAGTCAGTGTCCTTAACCTCTGAGCCATCTCTCCAGCCCCCCAAACCACGGTTCTTACAGCATCATCCACTGCCATTTTACAGATACAAAATGACGGCGGTTGACCTACTTGAAGTGACTCCAAAATCCATTCAACCTGCTTCCTCAAAGGGTCCCACCATAGTTCTACAAGAATCAAGATATGTTGAATGAGTTACTTACTCTGTTAAGATTTAAGGCTCTCAGGAATAATGGGCTGGATGGGACAGGGAAGTTAGAGCTGTGAGCTGATTTCCTGGGTGTTGTCTGTCTCTTATCAAGACAGTTAAACTATACAATCCTATGTGGGTTTGCTATGTCTGTATTAATCTTTCTCTTTTCTTCTGTTTCAGAGGTGGCTATAGTATCTGCCTGGGGACCCAGAGTAATTTCCTCAGGAGTTTCTCCTACTATGGCCAGCCATGCTGAACAGCAGCTACTAAAGCCGTGGCCACCTAGAGTGATGGGAAGTTCTCTACTAAAGCCGTGGCCACCTGGAGAGATGGGAAGTTCTCTACTAAAGCCGTGGCCACGTGGAGAGATGGGAAGTTCTCTACTAAAGCCGTGGCTACCTGGAGAGATATGAAGTTTTCTGAGAGCATCTTATACAACATGTCCTTTGCCTCTTTTGCAGGAATCATTGCAAAGTCCTCCACCTGCTTCTGCTCCAGGTGTTTCTTCTGCAACACCAGACGGAATATTCTGGCACAGCGAGACCCAAATCTGGAAGAACAAAGAAGCACAGGGTATACTTTAGCTCCTGGTCTCAGAGTAGGACTTACTAATCCACATGTGGGGTCAGGGGCAGAGAGGAACGGGGCTCAGAGTTCTTTTACAGCTTCAGAAGTTGGTAATGGTACTGTTAATCATAACTTGTCACCAACCGCCAACTCCATTGTGTGCCACAGATCTTGTATTCAGAGCTTTGGGTGCTGGTTAATTTGCCTAGCTAGGAATTAGTTTTATAGGGAAGACTAGTTCTACTGGAAAGATGAGACCAAGTATGGCAGGGTATACCATCAAAACCAAATTACCTGTTCAACGGGGTGTGGAGAGGAAGTGTCTGAGCCCACCCCCCATCAGTGGCCCTCTTACCTCTCCTGGATGACAGACTCCAGAGTCGCAGTAGCCAGGGATGCTAATGCCTTGTGGAGGTCTTTATGGAGAGGATTAAGGGCATTCAGTAATGTTTTGGCCTCATCATCATGAACTGAGTGTCATGACTAAATTCCTAATTTATAACTAAAAATTAAATAATACTTTGCCTTTTACATTTCATGTATGATATATAAGTATATTAACATTTGTAAGGGTTTTCTTTCTTTCTTTTTTCTTTTTAAATGAAACCAAATCAAAATGGCCATCATTTTATTAAGTACAGCGCCCTCTGATGACCGATTCCATGTTGGGAGACAGGACTGGGGTGGGGAGGGGGGTGGTGGGGGTGGCAAGAGGGAGGAGCACATGCAAACTGGGAACTAACTCCATTTGTAAGGGTTTTGCTTAAGTAAACTTATTTTTTATTTTTACTTTATGTGCATAGGTGTTTTGCCTGTGTAAGGGTGTCAGATTTTGGACACCCTCACACATACAGGCTGTTAGCTGCCATGTGAGTGCTGGGGATTGAACCTGAGTCCCCTGGAAGAGCAATCAGTGCTCTTAACTACTGAGTCATCTCTCCAGCCCCTCTCTTCTTTTTGTGAGACAGGGTCTTGCTATGTAGCCCAGATTGACTTGAAACATTTGACTTTTTTGCCTCAGGTCCAAACTGCTCCGAGGTAAGCAGTTAGCACAACTCCTCCCCTTTCCATCTCTCTGCCTCAGCTCTACCACCTTCCTTCTTCCTCTCCTGCAGAGCTGGTGATCTGTTCCAGCGCCTCGCACGATGTGCGTGAGGTGCTATGAGCAATGACAGATGTAGCACGATTAATAGAAACCCAGAGACAGATACTGCGATTTAACCTGAAGGTCAGAAAAGCAAAGCAGTTAGCCACTAGAGATCTCTTGCCTCTATGAAATCTTCAGATTGAAAGAAGGGCGAGTTCCTGTCTTAGCCCACCTTATATTCCTCTCTAGAGCTGGAATTAAAGGTGTGCACCACTACCACTGGGCCTGTATGGCTGACTAGTATGGCTGTTTTGCATTCTGTTCTTCAGTCAAGTTTTATTTATTAAAATACAAATTAATATCACTACAGACAGTCCCAGGCCTTTATATTTTCATTAATAAAACTCACAGAAAACTCACAGAAAAATTAAGAAAGTTATTTCAATTTTTGAACGTGTTTAGTATATTAGGCATTGACAAATTCCTTTCCTGTGGTGGCACATGCCTCTACTTCCAGCACTTGGGAGGTGGAGGCAAGAGGACCAGGGCTTCAGTGCTAACATCTAAGCTACACAGTGGGTTCGAGACCAGTTTAGGCTACGTGAGACTGTTTCAATAACAACAACAAAAACAACAACACCCCCGCCAATTTTTCCTAGGTTACCCCTCTGCTTCCTAACTCAGGGGTCCTGACAGAACAGACAGCTGGGAAGGATACTGATGACATACATTCCTCCACCGCTGTCGCCAGACTTCCCAATAAACTCTAGCTGTTAAAAGAGAGCGAATGGTGTTAATTGGTATAAAGTCTAGTGAATAATTTGTTGACCAATCTGGTCAAGACTCTGAAGCAGACAGCTCCTACTACAGTGGATATTAGGATTTAGTGGTAGAGATAAATTATAAACAGACCAAGTGGGTGGGGAGACTTACGGGGTCATCTGCCAACAGCGTAAGGTATTGATCGAGGATTTGCTTAGAGATGTTATAGCCAACAGGCAGGGACCTGAAGATCTGTGGAACAGAAGGGGATGCTGGAAGTGGGGCCTGGGAATGCAGAACTGTTAACATGTCACTCCAGATGTCCTAATTCGGATTGCAAACATAAAAATGTCTAAAAAATTCATATAAAAGAAAGGCTGAGAGGGACACATGCCTTTTAATCTTAGGACTGGGGAGGCAGAGGCAGGCAGATCTCTGACTTCAGTGACGGCAGGGCAACACAGGAAGTTCCAGGGTTGCCAGGGCTACATAGAAAGACCAAAACAAAACAAAACCCCAAACACAACAACAAAACAAAAACCGAAAAAAGAAAATTGAAGTATACCTCATTAGAAGACAGTGGCTGGGTAAACGGGGCACAAGAGGGAGTGGTAATCTCACTCATCCGGAGCATTGTCCGCACAATCTCGCTGCTTGTCTGAAAAAATAAACCAGAATTCAGAATTCACTGTTGCTGCCTCTGAGCCAGGGGCCACATCTGACAACCACCTGAACGATCGACCTTACTCCTTGCTGAACACTGGGTGACCCACTTAGACATTACCTGGTCCATTCGGTTTGCAACTGCACTCACAATTGCTTGGTCACGGAAGTGCTGGTGGAATCTCTCAAGGTTGACTTGCCAATAAATCCCATCATCTGGACTGGGCTGAGGAGAGAAAAGGAGAAGAAACATTGAAATACAGTGTAAGATTTTAGATTTTTCAACAAATAGACAAACCTTTATCTAAACCAACAAAAAGGCAGAGAGAGACTATCCCAATTAAAAAAAATCAGAAATGAAAAGGGGGACATAACCGCAGACACGGAGGAAATACAGAGAATCATCAGGTCATATTTTGAAAACCTGTACTCCACAAAATTGGAAAAGTTAAAGGAAATGGAAAACTTTCTGGATAAATATCACTTACCAAAATTAAATCAAGACCAGACAAGCAAATTAAACAGACCTATAACTGCTGAAGAAATAGAAACAGTTATCAAAAGTCTCCCAACCAAAAAAAGCCCAGGACCAGATGGTTTTAGTTCAGAATTCTACAAAACTTTCAAAGAGGAACTAATATCAATACTCCTCAAATTATTCTACACAATAGAAACAGAGGGAACATTGCCAAACTCTTTTTATGAGGCTACAATTACCCTGATACCCAAACCACAGAAAGACAATACCAAGAAAGAGAACTACAGACCAATCTCACTCATGAACAATTGATGCAAAAATACTAAATAAAATACTAGCAAATAGAATCCAAGAACACATCAGAACCATCATCCACCATGACCAAGTCAGCTTTATCCCACAGATGCAGGGATGGTTCAACAAACGAAAATCTGTCAACGTAATCCACCATATAAACAAACTGAAAAATAAAAACCACATGATCATCTCATTAGATGCCGAAAAAGCATTTGACAAAATACAACATCCCTTCATGATAAAGGTCTTGAAGAGAGCAGGGATACAAGGAACATACCTAAACATAATGAAGGCAATATACAACAAGCCAATAGCCAATATCAAACTAAATGGAGAGAAACTCCCAGCGATTCCACTGAAATCAGGAACAAGACAAAGTTGTCCACTCTCTCCATACCTATTCAATATAGTTCTTGAGGTCCTAGCTAGAGCAATAAAACACCAAAGGGAGATCAAGGGGATACAAATTGGAAAAGAAGAAGTCAAAC